GTAAGAAGCAGTTAACCTATTATAAGGGATAAATTGTCCTGAATCCCAACCATCAAATGGACTATTTATAACAATTAATCTATGAGGCAGCACGAATTACATAGATTACAACTTTTTATGAGTCAATCACTCACAAGTAGCATAGGGATTAACTATAACTCTCGTATGTAGCTCGACATTGCACACTCTTTTGGATCTTTGGGAATATGAGATCGTGCAATCACTTCATAATGAAATTATGGCGAAGTGTCATTACCTATAATGTGCTTGCAAGATAAGGGGAATATGTTGCCTTTCTTCTTTGGGATTTGACTTAGGATTATGTACTTTTTGTCCATATACATGAATGGCTAAACTTATGCCTTGTACTTAGTAATTACATTCAATTTCCACGCTCTTCTTGCCACGCTGGTAGCGAAACAAGTTGATTTATATCCTAAATTAGTATGCTTGTTAGTGGTCTTCAATACTTTCTGCAGACTGCCATAAATATGAATGCATTTTTGCCCATTTTTCTAATAAAGCATACTTGCAAAATATGTAAAAGTCGGCAGTTACTGTCAGTAGAGGGTAAAACCATGTCAGAAGATCGATATTCCATCAGCACACTATCAAATAAGGATGTCAATTTCCAAATAATTTGATGCTACTTTGCTAAAGATGTATTTAATCCGATAGCCCGTTCATTTCAGATCTCACCTTAGAGTTTGCTGGCTCGGGAAGTTGGACTCAAACAAAGATCAAGTGGGCGTAGCAGCAAAACCGTTATCAAATTAACTCAAAATACTGGTTTTAGCTAGCTTATATTTTTATAGGAGAAAAGTATTGAATTTCCCTCTTAATGACAAGAATGAAGAGGATTAATGCATGAGTTAAGGTTCATTGGCAGGACTCAATTTTTGCTTCATTCTCAATAACATGGGTACCATATCTCCATTACAAACCGTAGTTGTTTCAAAATTTGCATAAAGCAATAAAACTCTACTTAACTACGAAAAATAAGTAACCTAGTCGATTGTTATAGCAAATATACGTTTGTTTCATCGACAATCCCACCAAAGAATATCATATGACAAAAGGCCTGGCCTTCCTTGAAATTCACATCTGCCCTCTGACCCAAGGGCATTCGTGGCAATGTCGTCGAGTGGTTAATGTGTCAAGCTCCCATTCTGCACTGTCACAGTTCGAATCCCGCTGGGGATGTTGATAAGACCGATGCGAGGAGAACAACTTTTGGGAAAGCAGGGCAATGTGAAATTCAATGGAAACGTCAGCTCTACTCATATCATTGTGGGAAAATTCAACTTCCAGTCCTTCATCACCTTAAACGAAATCGGGTGAATACATCTCATATTATTGATTTACTTGTAGTCTCGACACTCTACTTACATACGAAAAGTAAAGCAATTATTTTCTACTTGGATTAAACTTATTATAAAATGAAAATTAAATTTCTTTAATGCTCATATATTAGAACCCAAAGAAAATGAAAGGGGATGTTCATACAATGAAACAATACTTTTTGCTTAAAACCTGAATTACGCATCATATTGGCTGAACAAATCCCACGCTCTTAATAACCGAAAAAAACAGATAAATATACTTACAGGTGAGATTTCATCCTATAGCATTTTTTGCACGAACATCTATGCAGTCTGAGCTATACTTTCGAAGAAATAAAAGTGAATTTGCATCTCATAGCGAGAAATGTAACTCTAGGCTCTAGGTCTCAGATAACGTAAAAACTTCTCCTTATAAATATCTGCAGCTCTCTATAAATACCTCGAACATTTAGTGATTGAATCTCAGATCATCAAAGAAAGTAAAAAAATAGCACAGGGATGCAAAAAATCCAACTCGAATCCTATCAAAAATATATAGTAGATCATTTTTCCTAGTCTGCATATTTAAATAATATATGATTTGATATAATTTTATAATCAATATATAGGCATCTCTTCTGCCGACATCTTTTGAGATGATGGAGAATAAATGGAAAGACTTGGTTAAAAAAGGGTTATCAGTCTAAACATTAACGACTAGGCGAGCTGGTAAATTGATTAAAAGTATCATTTTGCATCAAGGAATATGTCTTATAGTATCATACCCTTAGGGAATCAACACTAAATTATCAGTAGACATAGAAACATAGCTATTATAATCATTTGTAAATAAAATGTGATTATTTGACGAAATTAGTTATTAGTAGAAGCAATTTTCACTAATAGTCGGCAAAGTTACTTAACTATCTAAAAGGCAGTAGTGGGAGTGAACGTTCTTTAAAAGTCTCCTGAGAGAATTCATGAAAGTTGCAGTAAAATAGGTAGGATGTGAACTCTTTGCTTATAGGACGATTAAGAAGGCAGAAAGCTGATATCGGATCTATGGGCTTTATCTATTTCCAGACGTATGTTGTTTGACGAATCCCTTTTTGTGAAGGGATGCAAATCAGCATGAAACCGCCTTCAGGCTCTGTGAACTCACGGATGCCTTGTGCATTCATCCGTTTAAGTTCATCAATTGTCTGCGCACGACGAACAGCCGCCGGAAGTCGAAGAAAGGATGCACCAGCCTGCGAAGAGATCGGACTTCGCGAACTGTCCGACCGATCGAATGCCCCGAGCCAACGGACGCCATAACCGTTGACACCATCGGCCGGCAGCCACCGTCGGGAGGGTAGTGTGCAGTCAACGGTCGTCATGACGTCAGGAAGCGGAGTCGAGGCGACAGGCCGAGCATGTGGCTTGCAAGTCCCATTGACGAGGGAGGAAGAAGGAGCATGTTTCGAATGGAAGGAGCCGGGTAGCGAAGGCGACGAGGAGGAGGGGGATGCGAAGGCAGGCGTAGGAGCCGGCGTGTTTCCGGCCAGTCGACACGATGGGCCGACAGTGCCACGATGACAGACCGACCGAGCAGAATAGGGCAGGATCGGAGGTTGCGTGGGGGAGGGAGGAGGTGCAAAGAGATGAGTCGGGGCCGGGCAAGGCGTTTTGTGACCGGTCAGGTAAAGTGGTTGGCAAGAGGTTGGGGGCAAGTTGGTCGAGAACGCGGAGGAGGAGACAGAAGAGATGGAAGACGACGAGGACCAGGGTTGTCGGAGGAGCCGAGTCCTGGGCTGTGCGGCAGGGCGAGTCGACCGATCGGGCAATTGTGGATGAGCCGGTCTTAAGTTGTGCGTCGAGCCGCGAGAGACAAGCCCTCCGATGCTTTTACCGCTCGCCACGCCCGAATGAGGCGGATTGGGGACTTGTCGCAGAAGCTGAGTTCGTCTGCGCAATGTTGGTGCTGAAAGCGGCGTCCTCTGATAGCCCGGAGCCAGCGGTAGCTGGGTTCGACCGCCCGACTGCCAGCCTTGGGCGGCCAGGCAGTCGGAATTCGGCTCAAAGGGCACACTTCGCGACAGAGCCAACACGGTCGTGCCTAGGCTGGGAACCCTGCCGGAGGACGCAAATCGCTGGTGCACCGGCGAATGTGGCCCCAGAGGAAGGCTGTCTTTCGAGCTAACCCGGCCAGCCGAGGCGGGCGCAATGGTACAGGCGTCACAGTCGGTGGGCCAGACTGCCAGCGGTCTGCAAGAGACTGACTGACTTGGTCGGCTAGCTCTACCATTGAGTACCATTCTCACGCACCCTATCCACTAAACCGGCTTGCCGCATATGCTTGCGCAAAACCTGGGCAGAGGACACAAGCAGTACATTATTGTACACTGTGGTACAATATGATACACTTCATAATCCGCTGGGTCAAGGTGATTCTGCTTAACAATTGGTCCTGACGACCAACCTTCGTGAGAGCCTCGGCAACGCGAGGCGCTTTGTCATTCTTAAGGGGAAGTAACTAATGTGAGCAATTTAGAAGAGAAGATGATGCACAGCCAGATTGAATATAGCCCTTGACATGGGCATCGCGCTTCAAGCTCCAAGTGTCCGGCTTAACAGCACCAAGTACAGCGCGGATCGATTGGTCCGGCCTCGGGAGTACTGGGGCCGAGTTCAAGCTGGACGTCTCTAAGCACACGGTGACTGCACAAACTTGAAGGCATCAATCGGTCGAGAGGGTACAACGGTTGCAAACTGACCAGAGCGGGAAGGTCGGGAACTCGGTATAAATGGCCGATCCTGATCATCGCTTGCTAGCTTATCCTGCGAGGCTGAGGAAGAAATGATTCGACTTGTCATTGAGACACATGCCCTACAACATGTATCCACAAATACCGGACGATAGGGTGAACGAAAGCTTGTGGAAACCGGTCACAGAATCATCGCCGGGCAAACAACAAAGGTGAGAGAGAGATGAGCTTGACGCGTGCCAATTCACGCAAGCACACATACCAATAATCGGGAGGTGGGTAGATACAAATAAAAGTATACCGACAAGCATATTCTACATAATAAACATGGACAATAAAATGAATTAATGAACATCTGAGCCTATTTATATATGCACAAGAAATAAAAGCTTAAAAACCAGAAGGGAATATCGGAAATAATTAAACAAAAAAGCATAGAAAAGTAGATAGATAGGCGGGTAAACAGAAAAATAGAGATCGGCAAGCCCGTAGATGGGAAGATGCCGTCATCCTTCAATCCATGATTAGCTTAACTCTGATTGGCCGAAGATCCACTGTTTGCTCCGTGTGTGCCTGGGCAATGGCTAGAAGGAGCATTTTCCCTTCTTCCATGTCAAAGCCTTCTACCTGGCCTAGTTCAGATAGGAGGTTTGTACATCAGTCGACTAGTCTGAATCATGGCCTACAGGAAGCTGACGGAACTGGACAAACCTAAACTCTTAGAAAGAACCCACACGTGCAGATACACAAAGCCTCCTGCAGGCACACTCGTCCAAACACCGGTACAGCAAGGCCAGGTGATAAACTGAAACCATCAGGAGCAACTTTTCGGTGTGAGTAGATTTCTAGACTATCAGTTATTCTTCAACTAGAACTTGGTCAGCATCGGTCACTCGATATGAAATAAGGACTGATAAATGAATGTTTTCCCAAATTAAGATGAATAGACCTGAAGATCCCATTGAATTTCATTAGCCTTGACTCACAAAAGACCAGAGTTGACTGTAATTGTGACCTCACCTTGGTCTCATCACGACCATTAACACATTCAATACCGGGCCGTGGGAAGCGTGTAGCCGTGGATGTGTGACGACGATATAACGTCGGCATATGATCATGAAAAAAATCGACTATCGGGATTTAACCCACCTTAAGCTGACTAGGGTGATTAATCGAAGGTATGAAAGCCAAAATGATGTGGCCTTAGAGTGATTAAGTTCTTATTCGTTAGGCGCTAAGATTTCGAAAGACAGAATACGGGTAGTTTACTTTAAAACAAATCTTTGTTTAAAATTTTGTGGAATTAGAGGCGCGAGAGGCGGATTTAAATAGCTGAAGATGAGGAGAATTTTAGCAATGATTGCATTTTTCCAGAAATAATACTTTTTTTATTGCCTATAGTCACTAAATATTTCTTTGACTTTGTTTACTCAACCCGGTCATATTGGCAGTAAGACCGAAATCCATAGTATGCATGATACTATCTAGAGTCGGATTGTGAACTTGTCAAATTCCCAGATGCTTCACCGGCATCGTAGTCTACATCGTCAGCAAGCATTGTCAGTCTTAGCACCACCCCACAAATATCCAATCAGACACGTGAAGCCAATCCTTTTACCAATTGCATGCTAAACAGTTGTGGTATCTTTCCTTCTGTCCTGGTGTATTGACCTATCTTGTATATCCTCGTACTCACCTTCACTATTCTAATTTCTTACTTACCTAAACTTAGTCGAAGTGTGCCCTTTTGAGTAGATTTAGTGAGACATATTCACACATCTTCCTGGTTTCCACATGCCACCCACTGTACTGGGAGTGTTGAACCAAGAACAAAGATTAGACCGAAATCTTCTTAATCAGAGTCACCTAATCAATAGGATCAGTATCTTATCTACTGGGTTCAATGATTTCACCCGATAAAGTTGACTTCTACCCCTTGTGATCAGTATATTTTCTTCTATAAATGCTTCAGACCGTCACCGCAGCAGCCAAGAGTGCTTATGCGATATCTAAGAAAATACTTAGAATTTTGATCGCATGGTAAGAAAAAATTGGATGAATTCCTCAACTTACTAAACCAACTTGATGAAAGAATTAAATTCACAATTTAAGTGGAGGAAGATGAATGAATGCCTTGCCTGGATGTTGTAGTCATGCCCTCCAACGAGACAATCAAGAGGAGACTATTAAGAAAGAAATTACATGTGAGAATAATCCTCAGTTTTCAGCTGCATCTCAACTACAGACTTGAGATCGGAATACTGATGAGTTTGATCATCAGAAGCTTTAGACCAACGGACATGGACTTCTGGAACAAAGAGTTGAACAAACTGACTCGGATTCGCCTTAGTAACGTGTATCCCAGAGAATTCATAGAAAGAAAAATAGAGGTCATTGGGAGCAGCTATCAAATTGATTATTATGAAAAAAAATCAGGAATGGGGAAGAAGACCAAAATTGGATTTGCCCACCATCCTGTGAACTGAACCGAAGATTTCAACCGTTCCTAAAAAAAATAGGATATCAAGGTGATAACATAATTAAAAGCAACACACTTAACCAGTCTGCTAACGCAACACGAGAGAGCTGACGGACTGGATTGCTCGGAAGTAAATCGCATAAAATGTGCCAACTGTGCTCAGAACTTAATTGGTGATACAGGAAGAAAAATCAGTCTACGAATCAAGTAACCCCAAAGGCTGCAAAAACATAGATACGGATAGATCCGTAATAGTTGGACACATTGTACGGACAGGACAAAAATCGACTGGAAATCGACAGGAAGGCTGGCTGCATATGCTTAAAATACAAGAAAATGCAAGATACGAGAAGCCATCAATGGATGGACGAAAAGAAATGTAATGAATAGGAGACTTGGAGAAGCCAGGAATAGAGAAAACTTTGCATATTGCCTGAGCAAACTCGAAGGAGATCAGGAAATAACAAGATCAGTACAACGAAAATGATCAGTTCAAGGAAATATTTTCAGCCCTGGCGACATGATTTATTTATCACTCAAGCCATCAAACAGGTAAAAGTATAGACGACCGGGCCACTATCTGGCGTCTTAATTAATATCAGGCATAATCGGGGAATACAAAAACGCGAGAGGATTGTCTATAGTGTCCCTGAGGCATACAATATTTAATAGAAAACGGCATGTATAAAAACTAGAGAATCTAAATATTATATGACGTAATCTGATTTCTCTACATACGTGCAATTTAACGGTTAAGAATTTTAGTCGAAATATCTTTAACTTATCTATTGCATCAGAAATGCCCACCAACAAGAGTCAATACTTGCATAATTCTGAGTAAAGTGTAGGGCATTGTTCTAAATTGGTGTCTTCATAAATGAGCTAGTCATAAATTAGTCAGTTCTGAAAGTTCCAAAATAACCTTGATTATCAGCCTGCTTAGTAATTACTTAGAAAAATACTTCGAATGTTGGTGAATATACTTAATAATTTAATTAAAGCGTCAATTTCTCAATGTTAAATATGGTAATAGATGCGAAAATTATTATTAGTAAATATCCTCGATTCATGCCGAGAGTATTCTACCTGCAGCCATAAGAAAGGAAAACAATCAGACTTAATCCAAATTTAAACTATCAATTTTTAACTGAACCGAAACATCTAGCCTAACCGCAGGTATCTGAGTGTCTTTAAAAAGCCTCACTTGTAAAGTAACATTTTTGCATATAATTTTGCTCAGTTTGGCCAAACCAACTAATTTTGACTAACTAATGCATAAATGTCTTATAATCATACAGTAAATGGGTCGTATGTCCACCTTAAGTCCATATAAATTAAACTAGTATTCAGGAGTAAACACCATATGAAACGATAAATCATCTGTAATTTGCGCTATCGAAAACATTTCTTTCCAAGAAATCGCCTTCGCGACCCAAAGCCGCTAATTTAGGGCTAGCCTGTTACAGTATTAAATTTTTTCTCTATGTAAAATGCCTGCTGGGGCCACCATTAGAGGTGTTATAGCCAGATTTGTACGAGAAGAGGCTAAACATTTAATCTAATTAGGCAAACAGATTGTGTTAGCCGTAGTCTAAGTATGCACAAGCTAATTAGATGTAAAGGAGACCTGCAATCTTTTGAGAGACAATTATAAGCATACGTTATCTTCAAACCTTAAGTTCATTTAGATTTTATGTAGATAACAAAGATTAACTTATTTATGATAGGATATATATAAACGTTGACTGAACCTGCATTATGTAAATTAAATTTACAGCAAATATCTAGGGCTGGTGAGTATCACCTTTTATTTGGTATAAATATTCAACGAAGCAAAAGGAAAAAAATGCTGGCTACATCATAAGCCAACTGGTACTTTATAGTTTAATAGTTAAAATATATTTAGTGAATTCAAGACAAAGTTTCATTTACTAGCTGGGAATACTCATTACAAAAGGCGGTATTAATTAATATTAAACATATATACTAACATGTAAAAGTGTGACTGTTCAAAAGGCAAGCACACTTGACATGATCTAATAGTAAGCATAAGATTCAGTTCGCTTAGCTGCAACATTAAGGTAAGTATTTTATAGTTCCTAATTCGTCACCAGGAATAAATAATAAAAAATGAAGCTAAGCTAGCGCATATCGTATTCGCTTACCAAGCATATCGCCTTGGCATAAAGAGAAGTCTTGATTTTTCCATAATTCTTCACTGTGTTTAGTATCAAAAAAAGTATTTTGACATGAAGTGTCAAACTGCTTTTTATATATCCAGTTTAGGTGTTTTTGCTACTAGAAACATTGCAGACAATTTTCTAGTAGATTGTCAAATCTAGATGAAAAGTCATTTTATAAGTACTTGAAGCTGCAATGACGGAGAAGTAAGAAGATCAATTCTTGCATTTTAAATAATTTGGGATCTACTTGCAATCAAGCAACTCGATTTCATTACGACTCTTTTTCTAGAAATATTATAACCCGGCTTTAATTTTATTCTGAGAGTTCATGAGACCCCGATTGAGGCTATAAAAATATTTCTTAAGTTAAATAACGAAATCAAATTAGATCAAAAGTGACAAGCATTACTGACATGAATACATGAAAAAACAAATATAACTTTTCAA